TGTCTGGAGTTTAGGTTTGATTTGTGAACTCTACGAGTTCATAATGGTGTGCAACTGTCTCACTGATTGTGAGTGAGTGAGTGAGTGAGTGAGTGAGTGAGTGAGTGAGTGAGTGAACAGACCGGACCACATAAGACACCTATTATTATAACGAAACACAAGTACAGTATTTAGCAGTGGTTTTGATGCTTACATTTGGAGGACTGGGAGCTAAACGTCTGTAAACCTTGGCTCAACCTGAGCTCAAGGCTAATCACTTTTCTCAATACCTATGCCTTTCAATAGGTTGTGTTAATAAGTTATATATTATTTATTGCTTCATTAGACGGAATGACAATTTGGAAAATATGAAAAATAATAATTTTATTCGTTTCACTCGTGAACCTCACAAATTACATCCAATTATACAATCAATGCTACGATTGCAACCAAAATATAGCCGATTACGAAACTTTTAGACAAATTAATAACAGTGTGTTTTAGTGTAAAACAAAACTTGAAATTGCTAACTTATAATTATAATTAGAATCAAAAGGAAATTTTAATATTATTATCAAACACATCCTTTTTAAAGTTATACAAAGATTATTCATCTCTGCTCTCAGATAAATCATTTTAATGCTCTCATTCTCTAACTACACATTGCAACCACTTTTAGACATATTGTAAAAACTTATAACATATGACAATAACATAACATTTCTCTCTTAAATCGTTTCCACCGAAGGATACGAAGTCTTTGATATATTTCATTGAATTTATAATGTTGTCGATTCTTCACATTTACACTCAAAGTCCTTTTATGAGTGATTCAAATATTATTTCAAACAAATTATAGAAAAAATTCCGCACATATATTATCATCTAATATATACTGAATTAACTCAATAATCAACTTAAAGGCAAAGGAGTCTTAAAAAAGTTTTTATTATTATTCTCTATTTGGCTTTCAAAATAAAACTGTCTTTACAAAAAAATAAATTATTGTTTTTATTTTCATAAAATTTTAATTATTGATTCAGAGGAATTTATTAAATAACAAAATACTTCATTCAATTCAAAAGTTAAATTACTTTTAGTGTACAGAGTATACAGAAAAAAGAAAACTTGAATAAACAGTTTTACGCCTGTGCTGTACGATATGAAAAGGATTTAAATGTTTTTTAGATACAATTTTAACCATATATGCAGTGAATAAATTTCTACTAAATTATTGGCTATAAAGTCATCTTAAAATAAGTGTTTATTTATAAGAAATTCTTTTCAATTTTCATTTATAAGCGATAGTCTCAAGAATTTCTATCGATAAACATATAAAGAAGTTCATCAATATTTCCCCTTTAAATATTTGTCTGACTTTCAAAAAACTTTATTTCATTATAATGGGTGTAAATGTGACGTGAATTTTTGCCTAAAATATATCATTTTTTTACTGTACTAACTTACAGTAAAGGACTTAAAACTCTTATCTCTCTTAATGAACTATAATAGACTTACCGACAAATGTTTATTCTTTAGAAAAGTGCTAAAAATATAACTTATAATTTTTATTTTCAAAATTCAAAGATTAAACGTTAAGCTAAACATGATATGTGCCCACGATTTTCATTTTATGTGGTTATCAATTGATGTCATGATTCATGACTTATATTAATATTATAGTCTATCAAAGAATATTACTATCGATCAGTGCATACTAAAAAATAAAATTTCGGGGAATTTTTTAATTATTAATAATAAGCTAGTAGTAAACACAATTAAAATAAGAAATCACTTATAATTTTGAATAAATTGTAAATTTATTGGTAATTTTTATTTGAGTTCATCTGAAGTCTTATATAATCATGAGTTATATCACAAGTTTTTAAGAGCTTTAATGGAAGTCAATAATAAAACTATTAAAAGTATGAATTGAGAGGCGCCGTCAGACTATTTTTTAATCATTTGCTTTCAATTTTGAAGTTTATGTCTCAAACATTTATTACTCTTTGAATATTTGCTTAAATTGACTAAAAAATTATTTTTTAAAAATTCGCAAAAGAAATAAGTTTTTTGGAAAAATTTTAATGAAATGTATAAATATATTTTCGTATTTATGTATTACTTTATAATTAAAGTAATGGAATATATAATTAAATAATAAATTGTAAAAAAGGATAGTTTTATAATTGAGATAAAGATAAAGTAATGATTAAATGTAATGGGATTCATAGGAAAGGCATGGATGACAATGAGATGTGTGGTACTAGTGAAGGACAGACAGATAAATATACTATTGATAGTACAGTATTTGAAAGTTCTCCCAAGTTGGGACTTCCAACACAGGTATTTAAGTTTGTTGTGTGCAGTTAGGCATTAGTCTGTGTCTGGTTTTATAAATTCAGTCGATGTCTAGTCAGTCATTATTTCGAAATATTTTCCATTCATTGTTAAAACCAAATGTTTTATTAATGTCTTATTAATGTCTTATACAGTGTTTTATACTTTATTTCCCCTTTCCTTTGGCTTTTCGCAGATTTTTATTTATTTATTTTATTGATCTGATGTGTGACTCAATAAAACTTTAGGGAACGCCAACTGTCAGACCATCACCTGTAATGGCAATAAGAAGTGTCTGAAAGATGGGGCCAATGGTTCAGAGGCGCGGTGTGTGACCTGTCCTCCGATGCCCTGTCCTGCGGGTCGACCCCATGTCAATGCTGTCCACAAGCACTCGGCGGCCAATAAGGTGTTGTGCGCCTCCAATAACATCACGTACTGGAACTGGTGTTCAATGATGAGCGACGCCTGCTCTACAGGCATATACCTGCACGTGGTGTCGGGCGGGCCCTGTCCTACAAATCATGGTAAGCCTCCGATCATTACAATGATTGCCTCACATTTGTATCGATGATCAGTTTTCCACCCAATTGTACGCCAAGAATATCTCGGCTTTTAATAGTCACTCAGTTTAACGGGTCTTTCAGTCTATGACTTGAGGCGATCGGAGGACTTGTAGTGAAATGCAGGTGTAGTGCCTAATAGTGCCTATTGTATCATTGGTCACACACTTCGACGACATTCTCCTGTTTATGACCTTTCCTTCTATTAGTCTTTTGATGGCAAAGCACAGGGTATTGGAATACAGGAGTGCAGACAAGAGACAAATACGTCTCCTTCTCTCCATTCACGAGCCTCTCCTCTATTCCACCTATTCTTGCCGTACATCCAAAGAATTGAACCAAATTTCCTTTAGTTCATCTCTCTCTCTCTCTCTTCTCTCTCTCTCTCTCCTCTCTCTCTTCTCTCTCTCCCTCTCTCTCTCTCTCTCTTCTCTCTCTCTCTTCTCTCTCTCCCTCTCTCTCTCTCTCTCTCTCGCAGTCAATGGTTGTGCTCTTTTGGGGCACAATTGACAGGTCTAACAGTTATAGCATTGTCTGCACAAATACTAGACGCCCGTCCCTTACAAATAAAATCTTGACACACCTTAGTCTGTGTGGTGTCGGACAGACATACCTTTTATTAATAATTCGATGTCTTATATACAGTGTTTGATACACTTCTCGACTATACATACAAACGCTAAGCTCTTTCAAAGTTTGTCGACAACTCTAAGCACGTGTTAATCTCATGAATGCCAACAGATATATGATATGAATATTAAAATAAATTAAAATTGTTTCTCTTAATTAGGACTATCAGTGAATGCCATCGAAGATCGCAGCACTCATATACCGAAAGCCATCTATAAATTGAATTTAAACGACAAATTTAAAACTCAAAGATGAGCACACAATCAGTTATTAACCCAATACTAAGTTATTGAAGTTTTGTACAGAATATATCACTATAACTTATATTACATAAAACACCGGCAATAAACGATTGAGTGATACACCTAATCACTTAAACATACAGTACAACAATTTACTATTCATTGTCAGCACATACTATAATCAGAAATTTTTTAATTAAACACTTTTGATTAAAAATTTAATGAGCATTACATTATTATTTAACTATTATAAACTAATACATAGACATTACATATGATATTGTACTGATTAACTAGTTATAATTTACGGAAGGTTCAAAATGATTACTTAAATTATTACACAATAATTCTTATAAAAGTAATATTTACTTGTAAAACACATAACGTACTGTAATTATAATTCAAGATGATTGTATGAATATATAAACTGACACAATTTTAGACATAAATTCCAAGAATATTTTGTATAATAGAGAGCACTATCTTTGATAACTTAGTTTTATTTGAAGAAAACTTCTGTCATTTAAATTTGAAGTTCAATCGATGTATTTGTCATATCATTAATTGTATAAATAAAATATGATTTTCATAGAATTCCTAAACATAACTAAGAAAATGTCACAACATAAACTTCTTTTATTGTAACGATTAATTACATATTATTTAACATTTGAGCTATAAATTGTTAATTTTACATTAAATTTATTATTATTATTACATTTCACGGGTATACATATCTGTATATTATAAGTTATTATTAATAACACATGTAATATTTATTTAAGAATTTATTTCATATTTATAATATTATATAATAGTTTGGATATATTTAAGTCATGATTATTTTAATTGCCTTTTATCCTATAATTATACTAATTTTATAGAAATAACAAAGGTATTCAATACCTTTTAAATTATGTCAAAATACTTAATTAATTATGTAAATCTTTTAATCCAAATAATAAATATTATCATTTATTTGTTAAAGATCTGAAAGTGTTGATTTTAAAATATACAAGTTCAAATTCAATTTAAATTCGTTGCGAGTTTATAGAAATATTTAAAGGCTATTTTAAGTATACTGTATCTGTAATAATAGCGATGACCAAAATAGTCTGGATGCAAATGTGATTACAGTATATGGACAAATGCAAATATAGAGTTAACTAAGAAATTAGAAATTCTTATGGATTGGAGGGCTAGACAGAGACTGTTGGCGATCGTTGACATATGCCGTACAGTATTCATGAAATTATGAAAAGTGTTTTATTTTTGTTTCGTTAAACTATGAAAATAATAGAGTATTAGAATTGACGTAAAAAAGAAAAACTCCTCTAAATGTGAGACTTATTTAACATAAAACTCCTGAGATTCCAGACTATTCTCGTGTAATCGATCGATCAGTTGATGTCAAGACTTACATTAAAAACTTATGATTTTTTCTCTCGTCTGCTGTTTGTCTGCATTTCATTCATGTTTTGGATTTTGATTTTCTTTTCTCAAGACATTATCGCTTATATTTTGACGCAAAAATTAGTCCTTTTGTTAAAATATACGTATAATAATTATATTTATAAAATGATTGAATAGTGAATCAAAATGAATAAAAGAGTACATATTTCTCTCGCAGACTTGACATTAAAGTAATACATTTGTAGCAAATATTTCTCATACA